AGGAACACTTCCCACCATCCCATGCACGGTGGGTGACTTCCCTGTGCCATGCGGTTTAGCATCGCTCGTCAAGTCACCCCAAAACTTCCCATCAGCTGATGTGCCTGTTATTCATCCAAAAGCAGCATGGTAGGACATGAGTGATGCAAACCACTCTCGCACTTCCCCTCTGCTCGTTTCCTCCTGCAGCTCCAGGGAGGGCCCCTCCAGCACCAGCAACCAGAGCTCAAGGTCCACTTGCCCCACTGGCAGTGGCAGGACCAGCTGATGGTGCCCGGTGACTTTCCCAGCCGGCAGCCTGATGGCAGCAATGAATCAGCAGGCGGTGGACTTGTCAAAGGCATTCCTCCACTTTAATCCTATTGACAGGGACTACTGCCTGGAACAGGAACTGCGGGGTGAGCCATGTCAACAGCAGATTCTTATTACAGATATTGATGGGGCCTTTACTTGAATAATGAAGGGAAGAGCCCTCTGCTTTGACGTTTGTCTCCAAAACCTAGAATTACTAAGAGTTTAACCATCGGAGGGGAGCTTAAGATAGTTGCATCTTAAAGGATCTGCTTTCTTGTCGCATTCAAGGCTGGGAAAGGAGTTTAGCCCGTACGCTGGTAGCTCTGTGCTGACCTTTTCACTGCTCTTAATAAATGTTACAGTTAAATAAAGTTGGATGGATTTTTCTATCTACTGTAGTGTGTTATCCACTTGCTGGGGGAAAAAAAACGGTAAGAAACCCTCAAATCCCTGTTTAATATCACTGTTACTCATTATCTTTGCTAGCTGCAGGGCAAAAGGCAAGGAGGAAGGGCAGGGGGAGGACAATTCAGCCACATAATCATGTGCAATGGTAGGAATTACCTTGATAATGTGTGTCTCTGTATATGGGTGAATCGGGGCTGTTTAAATTGCTTGGGATCTTATGGCCAAAGCTCAAACCAGAATCAAGCAGCTCTAGAAATGTTTGGGCGAAGTTTTGCTTGCTTGTTTTTAATTTACTCTCTCATTTTCTGTGCTTTAAAATGAGAGGAGAAAAATTCCTTTGTCAGGTCTTGGTTCCCTATAGGAGTTGGAGACACCGGGGCACAGAGGAGAGGCTCCCTGGGAAGTCAAAAAGGGCAGAAAGCATCAGCCATTCCAGGAAATAACCTGTCCTTGCACATTTCCTCATGTTTTGGCTTCTATAGTGTGATTGCAGGCACTGTGATGAGTGAGAGAAGGTAAGGAAGGAAGATGGGGCTAAATGGTGGCATCCCAGTTCTTGGATTTTCAAAGTAACCAGGAGCTCAGAGGTGTCCCTCTGAAGCCTTATCTAGAGACATCTCTAACTAGGGTTTGACCCTCCAGCTCCTATTGGGACAGATGAGGAAGAGAGCAGCAAAGATGGCCTTTGGCCACATTTATACCTCCCAGATCCTCGCGCTGGCCCAGGACTGAACCAGCAGGTGGTTTAGGTTAGAACAGCCCCTTGGCTGCTCTAACTTAATCCAGCTGGAATCTCTCGTGGGGCTGGTTCTACCAGCCAAGGTTTGCTGGATTACAGAGGGCCCTGAAAGCCACCAGCCCACCCCTGAATGGCCTACACCAGGGGACCAAGGAGCAGATGACATGGAAGTGTCAGGGCAGGTCCTGGCCGGTGCTTTAGGATGGCTTTGATTCCTTCACACTGCTGCAGAATATCAGTGTCTGGTCCAAGGGAGCCTGTTCTCATGGTGGTTTTAGCCTGATTTTGAAGACCCTGGAGGCTCTGGATTGCCCGTGAGTCCCTGAATTCTGGGCGTTCTGACTTGACCTGCTGAACGTCTTCCATACATCAACAGCAGCTGCAAACTTTCAGGTTGGATGAGTCAGGTTCTAGATTTAAAATAAGAAAGTCAAGGGCTCCAGAATCAGTGGGGTCCTTCAGGTAATGAGAGGCTTTTTAATTGTCTCCTTCAAGAAAAACTACTGATAAATCTTGACTCCCCCATGCTTCCTTGTTTGGTTTGGAGGGTGCTTTAGGGTACATGGGGCTTGTGTCTCTCAGCTTTTGTCTACAACCTGGAGGCCTATGAACAGCTGGCTCCTTTTTCTTCTCTTTTTAAAAGGAAATCTGAGATTTTTGCATAATACATTGGAGCAAGAAACTGGGGAGGGGGTGAAGAAAATCATCAGATACTGTGGGACTAAAACTGCAAGAGTTGGCAACACTGATTTCTTTTTTTCCTTGTTTTGCTTTGTTTTCCAGAGAAAAAGCAAACACCCCCCATTTTGCTGAGCCCCAGCAGGGTGAGCAGAGGGAAAAGGTGCTTCAGGGCAGGAAGAAACTATGAAGAAATAGGTTTGCAAACTCCATTTATATTGGATTGTTTGGAGCTTGTCCTGAGAGCTGCCTTCTGGGGACAGCTGTCCTGCTCTGAAGAGGGAGCACAGAGATGAGTGTGGGGAGAAACTGTGTGGGGCGCTCAGGCTGGGAGAGCATTCAGGTTGCCATTGCCTCTGGTTGTGCTCAGGCCCCAGCTGTGTCAGCTCCCCAAGGAGGGCAAGGAGAGGCTGGGTGTGAAGAGGAAAGGCTGCACGAAACCTACTTATTTCCATAGGACCAGCATCTTCTGCAACAGAAGTCGTGGTCAGCCAGAATCAGCCCTGGCAAGAGGAGAGGTGGAAAAGGACTGGCAATCAGTGCCATTACACCCAGGCTCCCTCCGTGCTGGTCATCTGGATGTGATGGCAGTGCTGCAATGTCCCCATGCTCAAGGAAGACAGGCAGAAGAGCCTGAGTCTGTGCTGGAGATGTGCATGGGATGATGCTCCATCCCTGGCAGTGTTCAAGGCCAGATTGGATGGGACTTGGAGCAGCCTGCTTTAGTGGAAGGTGTCCCTGCCCGTGACAGGGGGTTGGAACAGGATGAGCTTTAAGGTCACTTCCAACACAAACCAGTCCATGATTCTATGGTTGTATCTGACACCAGCTCTGATGCTTGCTAGACTCCCAAGCCTAACCTGCAGTAATCGGTAAATGGAGGCTCAGCAGAGTAGGACATTGCCCTTAATGTATTGCATCCCAGCGGATGTTGCCACTAACGCAATCACAGCCAGTGTCTACTCTGGGCTGTTTAACAGCAGAAATTAATGTCTATCTCGCCTTGGCTTCACGTGGCATGTACAGGGGGACTGTTCCTTATTAGCACTCGCAGTCATTGGCAAGAGCTGCTGGAACAGAGGTTGAGCTCCAACTGCTATTCCTGCCTGTCCTCCTCCACTTGTGCTTGTATCTTTCTCAAGCTCATTTCTGTTGGGCTGAAATTTTCCATGCTTCATCTTAGCCCAGTGACACGTTTTTGCTGAAGGTATTGGCCGTGCTGGTTGGAGTCCTCTTTGTGGAGCTCCTTGCTAATCTCTGCCCCACAGTGAACATCCATCTTTCATGTCTGAGGAGGTGTCAGGCTGCAGAAAATCTTTAGAGGATGGATTCTGATTTATTTACTTGTTTATTTATTTGGAAAAGTGACTTAAAAGTTTACATTTCAGTCAACTGGAACTTAAAAGGAAATCTTTTATTTAGCTCTCTCCCAGTGGAAAACTGGGCAGCTCTGGCAAAATTCAAGTTTTTCCATGGAACATTCAGATTTTGTGAAAACTACATTTTCTACTGAAAAAAAAAAAAGAAAAAATTATTTTGATCAGAAGTTTTTGATCTGCTCTGCTTTTGAAGGATGATTCAAAAGCATAAAGGCAAAAATCTCCCCTTCCAATGTCTAATATAGCAACTATTTTTTTTCAGCATTACTTCAATTCCATCTCCTTAGTGAGGAGGATAGAAAAATTATTCAGCTTAAGGAAAAGCATTTTATCAGTTAGAAAGTTGTGGAAATTTAAAACGGGTATCTTAGTGCAGTGTTGGATTTGCCGCTTGCCTTTCTTCCTATCTGGGTCGAGGATGCCAGGCTTTAAAACCCAGTGTTAACTCAGTTAAAGGTATCTCTGGTCGGATGTTTTTGGTTGTTGGTGTTGGATCCTTTTTTAAGAACAGCTGGAATACAGAAAGATCTGTTTAGGTCTGAGGGACTAAAACTTACTTCTGGGAACTGGGCGACTTCATTCAAGGTGATTCTGTAACAGCAGTTCCAGGGCTGGATTTGTTATTTGTGGGAGTCTTGTGATTTAATACGTGGTTTTCCCCTGTATTTTCAAACTTAAAGATTGTTTTCCTTAGACAGCCACCTTTTTCTTAGAAAATAGGATAACTAAATACTAAGCTTAACTAATTACATCTTCAAAAGTTAGCAAGCTCCAGTTCAAGAGTTAATGGCATCACAAAGTTAATACATGGTCACCACAAGCAGGTATCAATCTGGTATTTTCAGACCAGCACATACATGTACAGAACTGGGGAGGTCTCTGCAGTGAACATGAAATAGTTCCCTGAAAGCACAATGCATTCAATGTGGCTGATTTGCCAAATGCCCAGAATACATCACAGTGGATGACTTGATTTGAAACATTAGAATAGGTGATAAGAAAGTCATGCTATAGAATCTTTTATATATATTTCAAACAACTCCTACTTAAAGGAGGGGGGGGGAATCTTTATAATTAACATGACAGATAAGAGCAACAGTGGCACTTTAAATAAATGCAGTGTATTTGATTTTTGAAGTAGAGTTTAAGATTCTGGGGATGCGTTCAAGAGAGGAAAAACTATGTGCTCAGTATTGAAAATGAAGAGATGCTATAGATCACCTTTCAAACTGAGCTCCCTCACAGAACTTTTCTGTTCTCAACCTTCAGCAGAGGGCCTCCTAGGAAACAAGTGGGGCTAATTAAAAGAGAGCTGACAAAAGGGGGGCCCTACAAGGGAAGGTTTAACGGGGGCTTCTTTTCCATGCCATTGCCATGCAAGGAGAAGGCATCCAAGATCCAGCTATGGTGGAAGTGACTCTTGAGGAATGCCACGTCCTTGCAGATTTTAAAAGGAAATGTAGGGCTGATGATGGCTTAGGTGTTAGACGTAATGGACGTTATGTTAGTCATTGGATGGAGACTTAGTAGCCAGTTCAGTGAAGAGTTTCACTTAGTTTTTAGATGGGTGGTCCTAGGTCCCATGCTGAGCTAAATTCTACGGCTCCTCTCAAGGTATGTAGGCTAGAGGTGGATGGCTGTACAGCAGAAAGGGTGAATGAGTATTTGCAACCTGCTCTAGTGGAAGGTGTCCCTGCCCATTTGGAACTGGATGAGCTTTAAGGTCCCTTCCAACCCAAACCAGTCTGGGATTCTCCAATTTCCCACCAGCACTTTTCCCTGCAGAGCCCATCACCAGGGTGAATTAAAAATTCCAGATTTCTGGAGCGCACTCTTGTCATCTCATAGCTGCTGCTCAGGCAAAGCTGGTATTAATTCAGGAAGAGTCTCCCCGAGCAAGAACTCTCCAGAGTCCAAAATATTTTGCAGACAGTAAATACAGGAATTATTCACCTACCACAGAACAGCATCAGCCTCTGGGTGGAATGCAGGAGCTGGTTAACAGTGCGCAGAAACACTTCCCCCCAGGTTTGGACAGGAGTTGGAGGTTTGTGTGTGCCCAATTGAAACTGCAACTGAAAGCAATGGGTCCCTCCCTTGGTCCTGGAGGGGCGAGCACCAGCTACCTGGGTACCTTACCTCACCACTTCCTCTGGGATGCCAGGAGGCTTTTCTGGAGCTCGTCCATCTGACCCAGTCCTCCACATGAGATCTGGCAAGATAATCGCTCCAAGTGTCTGGGTAAGTACTGTAAAATGCTTCAAATAAGTGAATAGAAATCATCTGCTTCATAAATGCCAAGGGCTTTCAACATGTCGTTTCTTGGTAAACAAAGAATTTCAGCACGACAATATCTTAGTATGTTATTGGCCATATTTGTTCCCTCGTGTGTACTGAAGAGAGTGTGAGCAGAGCTGCTCAGCTATTCCCTACGTCCTGCTTCAGTTGGGAGCTTTGCTCCCTGCTGCAGTGGAGATGAGGGGGCTGCCCTGGGACAGACTGCTCTGTCCCCAGTGCCCGAACCTCCTGTTTCTTTGGTGGTGAAGGGCAGGTGGGAGTTCTGCTCGTGCTCGGTTTTGCACAGAATGCTGTGATTAGGGAACAAAAACCCAAACAAAACACGTACTCCTTTTTGCGGACATCAGAATGCAATGAAAATGTGTGTGCTCGCCCCCCAGCTAAATTGATTACATCTGGTGGCATGAAAAAAAATAGCCAAAATGTCAGACTGAGTCACACAGCCCCCTTGGGTGGTTATATTTATTTCAGGGTTGGAGCACTCATCAAAACAATTTATCCTTGGCTCTCCCTCTCAGCCTTCCCATCTCTGGGCTTACAAACTCTTCTCTCTTCCCTAACACTTGTAGTTAGCCCCAAGCCTCCTCTTTCCCCCAGTCCTTCCTTTCTCTGTGTTTCCTATCTCCGTGTCCTATGGCCTGGTTCCATCCCCTCCTTCCCCTTTGCTACATCAGCCCAAGCAAACCCCGGAGCTGCAGGTCTCCCCTGGGGATAGCATGGGAAGCTGGAGCACAGACAAGGCTTTGATGTTCTAATGCTGGATCACCTCTTGAGTGTCTTGTTTCACCTCACTTGGGGTGAAAGGAGATGGTAAATGTGTCAGTGAGCTCCCTATGCGGTTTCCATCATTGCTGTGATGGTGGGACCCTGCCTGCTGGGGCGGCTGCAGCTCCAACTCCAGCCTCATCTGCTCATCCTTGGCTGCCCTGACCTGCTGCGGTGGTAGAGGTGGAGCTGTTGGCTCTCTTTGGGAGGGTTATTTTCTGGTCCTGTGTTTTCCCTCTGGCAGGGAGCAGCACCAGAAGCATCTGCAGGGTAAGAAGAGTGTGCTCCAAGAACATAAAACCCCCTTTCCATCTTTCTCCCGAACCTCAGCCTCATACTCAACTCCAAGGAGAATGGCCACCTTCTGCCTGCAGCCCTGGGGACACCCTGTACACCTCAGTCTGTCGGTCCTGTTGGGATCTGCTGCCAGGTTCTGCCTGCTCTCATGTCTTACACTAACCACAGCTGCAGAAGACCAAGCACTCTGGGATCCTCATGGGTGGAAATGGCAGCAGAAATGCATTTCTCTGTTTTATCTCTATGATGATGAAAGGTCCTGGTCTGGCAGGAGCCAGGACCAAAGCCCTTTGGTGCTCTTTCTCTGGAGCTGGAGGATTACCCTGCCCAGAAATACCCCCTTGCATTCTTCACTCTTGTGCAGGGATCAATGGCAGATGAGGAAGACACATTTACCCTCCACTGTCTTGGCTGGGAGAGGACATGAGAAGCTCGTGGCACCACTGCCTCTGAGCTTGATGTGCTCTGTCCCATCCGTGGTGCCTCCTGCTCCCAGCCTGGGCAGCAGGCTCCTGTTGCACCGCACGCCACACTTGTCTCCTGTGGTAAATGAGAGCCCCAGGGGATCTGGTATTGTGCTTTTATTTTTCCCCAGGTATTTTTGTCTATGAACCACAGAAAACTGAATAGCAGGAAATGAAGTGCAGATTGGGAACATGGTTGAGTACACTTTCTAAAATAAAACATTGGGGGGAGGGAGAGATTCTTTTAGAACAGAAAATGAAGTGTGTTTACTCTTTATTGATGGAGTATTTAATTGTGGTGAGGCTTTGAGAGATGTTCCTGGTGGCACCTCAGGCTGTGCATTGTCTCGAAATGCCACTTGGTCTTTGGTACAAACACCTTGCTGGGTCAAACTCACCTCTTTGTGTTGCAAGGGGATGTCAGGAATTCCTAGTGATCTCTGACATGCCACAGTGCCAGGAGGGCAAAGAACCCCACTGCTATCTTCTTAAAGTGGACTAGATACTAAAAGGACCTGAAGGTTTGTGGAGTAGATGCATTTGACAGCAGAAAAGAAAGTCTCTGCCCATTGACCCTGCCCAGTGTGCTTTGAAATTGGCTGGGCAGGCTTTACCCAAGCACTGGTTTTGGTCTCTGTGGTCTGTTCAGCCTTCAGACTCCATACAGAGTGCGCCAGCAAAGCAAGCCACACCAGAGAGCATCTGCTGAGCTGGTGCAAGGTACGCACGCACCTGAGCTGGTGCTGAAGTGCCCTGCTGAGGAAGGCAGGGTAGCTCGGATGCTGTCCCCACGCTGCCGTGGCTGTGCTCTTTCTGGGCTGCTTCCTGGAGCTGACGTGCTGACCTCTGCACGGCATCACGTTGTGTCATGGAGCTGTGCCACGGAGCCTCGGAGCCTGCTCGGAGCTCTCTCTTGTGCCTCTTTCTTAAGCAGGGCAAATAGCACAAGGGAGTGCAGGGTGTGGAGATAAGGCTGTGACCTTTTAGATCATTCTGTTGCTTTACTACAAATGCTGATGGGTCCAGCCAGGCAGCTGGGTTCTTTTGTGAGATTAAATTAATCTCATTAATTCAAATGTCTAAAAGTAGCAGCCTTTAGTCAGCAGTGACCTGCACTGCTTCTTGTGCCGGGGGGTAGATCTTTAGAGTCCATCTTGCATTGCTGGAGCTGTCCTGCTGTCCCTGTGTTTCTGAATCACTGTCTGAAATATTGTGCTTTTGCATTTGGTTTTTTATCCAGTGAAGGATTATGAGGCTTCACAAGCAGAGAAGACCAAGATGCATGGAGTCTCCACGACAGGTCTGTGCACCTTTACATGGAACATGGGTGCAACCAAGAGGTGTGTCCGTAATGAATTAAATGGAGCTGCGTTTGGGCATTTGTTTGGTCTCAGCTGTGTGAAGAGTCCAGAGAAGCTTTTAAGTACTTGCCAAAGTCAGTGAGAGGCAACCACCTTTCTTAAAGCTTGCTTGAATCAGATCCTAACTGTACAGAAATTGGACACAGCGGTTACTTTTTAGAGGGACTCATATTGATCATACAAATGTCTATGGAGCAAAACTTTTGTAAAGGAACACCAGGTAAGTGTCCCCATCCCAACCAGCCTTCACCCTTTTCCAGCAGTGCCTATACAGGGAAAGCCATCATTCCCTTTAGCCGTAAGAGCTGGTGATGCCGCACACCACTGTTGGAAATCACAGAATAGTTTGGGTTGGAAAGGACCTTAAGACCATGCAGTTCCAACCTCCTGCCATGAGCAGGGATGTTCAAGCCCTTCCCTCTGTCCCTAAAGCCATGGAGCATGTAGGGATGATCCAGGCCTCCTTGTCTCGTCTGTCTTACCTATCTATACCAAGACGCTATTTCCAAAACTCCTGTCTTGACAATGCTTTAGCAGGGTCGAATGCCCCTTTATGCAGCCTCCAGATGGACCAGCCACCAGCCCAACAGAGGAGAGCTCATCTGCAAGGGAACTGCAAGTTCATTTGCCTTGCCTGGGGATAAAAGCCCTCTAGCAGCTTGTTGTGAGCTCCCATGAGGCAAGCCGAATCCTGCTGCATGGGAGTGGTATCCCTGTGCTGGCCAGCGCGCCAGCGGGAAGTGGAAGGGGGATTCAGACAGAGGAGAAATTCTAGAGGGGAGAATAGATGCAAGAAATTCCTAGGAATGTTACAAAAATCAACATCCCCCCCTCTGCTCCTTCCAAACCAACCCACCTAAAAAATGCCGTTTTGTGGGCTATTTTGGAAAGGAGTCCATGCCTGGGGAATTTTTGGCTGATGCTTATGGCTTTTAGAAGTTTCTGGGAGATCAGACGAATAGAAACAGGAACCAGATGGGACTTCTAGCTGCTGGAGAGAAAGGAAGAAAAAAGGGGAGGAAAAAAACCCCATCCCTTGTTTAAAATGTGAAAAGCACTTGTTCACTTTTGGGGGAGTTTCCCCTTCACCCTGGATTTCTTATTTTAAAGTAATTTACCCCAGTTCCCTCATATTCTCTTAGGACATTTATCTCTTTTGTTGTTGTTGCTAGGAATTCTTCTTTCTTTTGCAATAAATAACAGTTTATTCTTAGGAGAATTTAAGCCTTTGCCTTAGTAGATAAAAAGAAAGTCAGTGGTTGGTTTTGTTCTTGCAGCAGCTTCAACATCCCTTGGCCATTTTCTCTCTGTGTTTATCTCTGTGAGGCTGCAAAACATGAAAAAAGGCAGTGGTAGCCGAGAGTAGAGCTGGAGACAGCTCTGAGCTAGCAAAAGGGAGCACACACAGGTCCTGTTTAAGGTCATCAAAGGGAGAGTTGCACCATACTGAAACATACTATAGACCCAAACATGGGCCTCAGGTACATGGTGCCTGCAGTGACCCAACTTTTCAACCATAGTGCTGTATTTGTGGTGTCTTGGCCGTTGGGTTTTGGGGTTGTGGATCCAGAAAACAGGCCTGGTCCAGACCCAGGCTCCATTTTATCAGACCTTGGCTCTGGAGCTGGTTCATCTCTGGAAAACATCCCAGAGGCTGAACAGGGCCAAGGAGCATTTTCCAGCTCCTGGGTCCAAGCTGGACTCTGTGCTGGGACTGGGCTCGTTTGTGCTCCATCCTCACAGTCAGTTCTTTCCAGGCTGGTGGGCAGCAGGGGACCGGTGCAGTGGGTACATCACACATTGCCATGCTCTGCTTGGAGAGCCATGGAATCTTATTCAATAGGTGGTAGGAAGAGGAAGCAAAGTAGATACCACCTTGTAGATAGATAGTAACTGGATATTACCATACTTGTAAGCTTTGCCACTAATCTTCTGTTCCAGCTTCTGCTCCTAACAAATTCTTTTAATGGTTAATTAGGGTTGTGTTGTGTTTGGTTTTAACATCCAGTTTTCCAGTCATTTACTGCTTCCTGGTAAAAATGCACTCTTCCCAGGTTCCTGTCTTGTTTTATAGCCTTCCTTTTCTTGATAATCATTTCATATTATTTCTTGTGCCCTCTAATCTGAAGCCATTCCCAGGACAGGGTCATCTGCACAAGGCAGTGACCCTTGATAAACCTTCACCCACGGTTTGTAAGTTAGCATGAGAGGAAATCCATCCCTGGGACTTACTAAAGTATGAACTGTATTTCTAGGGAATTGATTGGAAGCTCCATGAACAGCATTAGGACTGTTCTGTGTACTATGAGGCTTATGAGTGGTGATGCAAAAAGTCAACTGCAGATATTTTAAGACACAATAGTTGGTCTTTTGTTCGCATTTTCAACTGTGTGTGTGTTTGAACACATGGCTTTGGTTCCAAGGTTTGTCACAGATGGACCTAACTAAGCCAGCTTGAGCCCTCTCCTATGGTGACCAATTGATTAGATTAGTTTAAATGAAAAAAATGCCCCAAAATGTAAGGCTTTGGGTTTGAGTGGCCAATTGGAGTTCTGACTTTTGTGGCTTGCTTTTTTCCTTTGGCTCAGGCTGGTCCGGCAGGATGTCCCGTATTAGAACAGTGCTCGGTTGTTGTTGTTCTTTGTGGTTCCAGTGAGCTGCTTTTTCAGCAATGTCTGGAAGGAAAGAGGCATAGGGGACTTGGTTCACAGCATTTGGACAAAAGCTTTTATTTTCCCTTTTTTCCCCCCCCACCCTTTCTTTTTGCTTGTCATGGATCTGATGTGCAAGCATTTGCTGGAGTGACACGCTGAGATTTCTAAAGCAAAGTGCTCGTCACATGACTCAGGTGGCTGCTGTCACAGTCAAAGCAGTATCACCCTAGGAATTTTGTTTGAACTTAGCTTCCAGCTCAAACAAAAGTCATCTGAGTAGACGAGCTTTTACTGGTTTCACTTTGGCTTCCCATGTCGGTTTAATTTGGCCCATGTTTGCTCAAAATGTCTCCAGCTGTCTAGAAACTTGTTCCTAGCTTGCTGGAACATTCACAGCCCTTTTGGCCAGTGTGACCTTAGTTAGAAAGGCTGGCTGTTGTTTACTCCAGATCATTTTTACTAGCTTAGTTATATATAAGGCAGGTCACATAATTAAAGAGACAAACGCATTGGTTGCTGTCCTTGTGTTCCCAGGTGAGAAGTTCCTGTTGTGCACAATGCCCAGGCAGGAGATCTGCCAGAGAACACCACCTCATTTAGTTCCATGGGAGATTTTTGCTAATATTTTCTTCTGTGTTATCACTCTCTTTGTTTCTCTGTTGGAAAGCCTCCCTCTTTCACACTGAGGACCAAAATGTCAGAAGATTAAAGGACTGTCTTTTCGCCCAACTAATATGAATTGGATGCTGAACTGTGTGCTGCTCAGAAGATGAAATGCCTTCTAAAGAAGTGAGTGGCTAGAAGGAGGCAGTGAAAATCCATCAGATTTGCATGACTAATTAGCTTATCCATTAGCTATTATCCTTGTGTTTACTTGTAATGAGAATCTTCAAAGATTAGTCTATGTAGGATATGCAGCTGATTTTTTGCTTATAGACATTTTTTGCTTACTGCAACGTGTGCTGTACCTTGCATCACTCTCTCCTAGCCCAGGTGTCCATTCTCTGGAGGGTGTTGATCCTGCATCCATTAGCAGGGGATGAACCAAGTGCTGACACAGCCCAGACTGTGCATGAGACATTTTCCCTTTCCCCTGAAACTGGGTCTGATTCTCTGAACCTCTTGGCACCCAGATCCCAGGCTTGTTTCATGAGCTGCAAGTGTTTCTGGATGTCAAGTCTTGGGTTTTTTTTGTACTTATTCAGTTATTCAGCTCCTCAGTTGTCAAACAACTGCTCCTTTTGTGAAAGCCATTCATGCTCTGTAGGGAGAAATTTTCTCTGTGTGCCTTCTCATAGTTTTCTCAGTGTATGATAGGATTTTGTAAGAGGAATGTGACTTCTGTGGTTGTTATTTTCAGGTCTTCCTTATTCATGCAGGTTGAGAGAGTCAGCAGAACTGAAAAAGGGGCTTGATGTAAGAAACCTGCCTTTTGACAGATCTCTCCAAAGAGCTAGATCTGGTACTGTTCTCTTCCTGCACGACTCAACCAGGCAGGTCAGTATCATTTCCTGTTTTCTGTCAGCTTTAAGAAAACTTGTATCTGAGCCTGATGTTATTGTGGAAGCAGACTTTGCCAGCTCGGTGATATTTTTCCTTTGCCAAGAACCTGCAGGGATGTGCTGGATGCGCTTTGCCTGGAATCAAAGTTCCTGATGTGTTTGGGACTTTTATCATCACCTACTTCAGACTGGATGAAAGGTGGGAACTGCTGTTCTCTCCAAGCACTTCTCCATCATTCCTGTATGTTTGCTATAGAGCTTATAGAAAATGCTATCCCCAAGTTGCCTGGAGCACGTTTGGAGAGTTTGCCGCCTGGACAGTGAAATCAGTGGCATTATTTACTTTGAATCCTGTATAAATCTCTGCGGTGCTCTCTGTGCCTTGCTTCCCACAGGTTCCCTGAGCTGGAGTTTCACAATGAGGATGTTCCTGGAGCATCTCAGGACAGCCTGCTCCAGGGCGTGCATCCCTCCAAGGGAGACGGAGAGGGGAAGTGCTAAAGATGCCACCGGGTCCAGCTCTGCACCAGGAAAGCCTGAAGAGCCCCGATTCAGCCAAAGCCCAGTCATCGCTCACCTCCGAGCACCCCAACAGCCCTGGGAGGAGACGGCGCATCCCTGGAGCGAGCGGTTAAGTGCTTTGCTGAACCAGGGCCAAGGTCCAGCACGGAGCCACCCAGCTCCCGCCGGCTCCCTCGTTGGCGCCGCACCGTGGAGTCAGGCCTGGGCTCGCACTGGAGGACGTTATGAAATCCTGGCCCTGACAGAGAGCAGATGCATCATTGGGAAGCCCTCGGGTCATGAGAGGGCTAATAGTCACATTCCTGGCCGGGATGGCGAAAGATTTACGCCGGGCGCTTGCTCGCCTCACCCTGCACCAGGCCGGCTCCCTGCTTCACCGGCCCCCTCGGCTTTAATTGTTGTGTTAATGGCCCTTTTATTTGAAGCAGATCCCCTGGCTTACAGAGGAGAATGTCATTATGTCGTATTTTAGATGTATTTACATTCTCCTTGCCACAGGGATAACGTTCTAATTATTTTCTATAGCTGACAGCACCAGTGTCTCTGGTATTAGGGACCCCTTAGACCTGATTACATGGTCTGTTTTTCTTCAAGTCACCCACAAATGACAGTGTGGAGCAGGTTTATTATCAATTGACGTACCTTTGCTTAACTCAACTCGCTCCCGAAACAAATGTCCTGGAAAGATAATGCATGTTTAGTGCATGTGTCTTCCTTTGCGTGAAGGCAGATGGGCTTAGGAGGTCAAGCCAACAGTTGACCTCTCCTGACTCCTCAGGCTTCAAATGGTGGAGAATGACAGCATGGGAAGGGGATGGAGGCGTAGGGGGAAAGGGGGAGAAGTGGAGGATGCTAGCTTAGTTTTGCATGGAGGTGTAGAGAGGTATTGGAGTCTGGTTGAGATGGTGGGATTGTACCTGGGCCAGAAGTTGTTTTCAAGGGAGAAGGCAGAGCTCCTCGCTGGAGATGGCTGTGCAACATGCAGTGGACTTGATGGACAGGGTGGTGAGAGGAGACGCCTGGCAGCAGGGTGTGTGGGGCTGATGGATGGAGCTTGGGAACTGCATGGAGAAAAGAACTGCCTGAGAAGCCAAGAAAGGAGAAGCCTGACAAGCTTGACAAGAGAAGGTGGGATGGGGCCCATCGCAGAGCTAGAGACAAGAGCAGAGAAGGTGGCTTTAGAGCAAGGGGTGATGCCAGGGAGGTGCGGGAGCACAACACAGAAGTTATAACAGCAAGTGAGATAAGGAGAGTGAGAGACACAATTATTAGAACAGAATGATTTGATTTATCCCAAGTCATTTATTCACCAAATTTCTCCCCTGAGATCTTCAATGGACTGAAGTGGTTTCAAATGTTGTCATTATTTAGAACAATTCAACAAAATGTTTGTTGCTTTGAAAAGCAAAAGGGAGGGGCGAGGGATGGAGAAAAGAAAGAAAGAAAGGAAAAATAAAAGCCTGGATGGTCTGGTTTGCCACATTTGAATTTTATTGCCGACTTGGAATGGGTCAAGAAAAATCACTCTTTCTGTTCTCTGAGCGGGAGTTTCACTTACAAAGCCACTTCTGATGTGAGCGCTTCCCCAAGCTCAGATCCAGGCTCCGTGTGTATTCAAACATGAAACGACAAAAAGGCAGTGTTCGTGCTGGTGAAACCCTGTCGAGGAAATGTTTGTGCACCAGGACAATTTCATTACAAAACTCAGGCGCGTCTTCGTGGAGTCTCTTTGCCTGGCAGCTCTAGAGATTATTTCATACTCAGCCCTGCTGGGCACCAAGGCACTTTACAAACAAATAGAAAGGCAAAGACGCTGCCCCGAGGGAGATACATTCTAAGTCAGACCAAAGCAGAGTGAGAATGCTGGCTGCAGGGTTTACACAGCAGAAGGTGGGCACTTTTGTTCGGAAAGGCAAGGATCTCACTAAGTTTTTCTTGTGTGTGTGCGTGACTTCTGGGGCATTTTTAGCCACGGCTTAAAAGGAATAGGTCTCCACAAGGTTCAGTGAAAGGTGGCAGGAGAGTAGAGGTCTCAAAGGTACTGTATTCCTGTTTTGTTTCCTTAGAATAAAAGCTGGGTGGAGGAGAGGCAACCAAACCATTATTTCAATTGAAAGAAAAGCTCCTATGTGTTCAGAAGTAGCACTGCTGTCTTCCAAAAATCCAAGAGGAAAAGAAGGGAGAAATGTTTTCTAGCAGCCATTGTGGCTATAGCCATCGGTGAAGTTGCCATCACAACATGTACAGAAGAGTTGTACCTGTTAAGAGACAGGACAATTTAACCATGGGAACACAACATCCAGGAAAACAGGATCCTTATTTTCACCTCTCTTGAAGTTACCTTGTTTGTTTTTAATTTACCCATATGCATTTGGTGGGTGGCAGCTTGGGGATGCTGCTTTCAGCTCCAAGAGGCATGAATGAGCACAGCATCTCCTGCCTCTGCTGGAGAGCATTTTTGGGGTGGAGGTGCTGATGGGTCACATCCAGTTGGTCACTGTGCAAATGGAAGCTAAAGAGAGGCTGAGTTACAGTTTTCTTACTGCTGTTTTTAGGTTGGACTGAATAATAGAACTGAGTATCTGCTGCCTTGTTTGGTCAATTTGTTGGCCTCAGCACAGGATGAGGAATGACAAAACATGGGACTGATTCTGTACCAATGTCATTTTGTGGAGTTTCACTTGAGAATATTCAAGTATGTGTGTCATGTGCAGATCTGCTGCCCTGTGAACGTCTGAGCTGTAATGAGGTGAATGCTACTGGAAAGCAAACATTTAATTAGCTCTGCTGTTTCAGTACTTTCCTAAAATGCATTCCAAATCATACACATAGTTGTGAAATCAGTCATTGATGCTGCGTTTGATGGTTCCAGCACTTGTGTGGGTTTCTTTACCTTTTTTCTGAGGAGCCTCTGATCAGATGACTTCGTTTTCAGAACACAGCACAAAAGAATAAATTGCAAGTACTCTGTGAATTATTAAAGGAGAATATTATCAGTAACATAGAAGAGGAAATCTGTCTAGAATTTTGTGTCATGTTGGCTAATTGTCCAGCAGCAGAAAGGAAAAGAAAGGCTAAACCAATTAGTTCAGCTTCTTTATTGAAATCGGTTGGTTTTTTTTCTGATACCTTTTGGGTACTTGTGCTTGGCAAAGCAAGTGGTTGTGTGGAGGAGCATAGCAGGGATTTGGGAGTTGTGTTTGTTTTCTAAACTAAAAGCGATTGGATTGCAGCACTGATTGATAGAAAGGCCATGTAATATGCTTCTGCAAGTATGCAAAATACTTTTCTCTGAGTCCCAAATGTACCAACACAGTGCTCTTCTGAAGGTGTCAATATGCAGCACAGCAGGGAGAGAAGAGGGGCTATAGTTTTGCCAGAAGCTCTTCAATACTCTGGACGTGCACACTCAGACATGCAGGAGCAAGGCTCTAGAAAAGGTTAGGGTCCATAAATCACTTCTGGTGGAGCCCAAGAGTGAGAGCACCAGCAGGAGCTGTGGTGTGGACAGACTTGGGGCACGATGCCTCCACCATATAGGGAATCCCTTTCGATGCGGTAGGCACCACCATCGTTATCTCTGCTCCAGTGGGGTCTTGGCTGGTGGAGATTCCCAAGTCACACCTCTGCACAGAGCTCACTTAATCTTCATCAGGAGGTCGAAGGCTGAGTCAGCCCTGCTGGGATTTGCACCGGTGGTTCCAGGAAGTCTGGGTATTTCAAACCTTAGGCTTAGACCTCTAATCATCCCCTTATCTCAACTGCCTAACATCTGAGTCTGCAAAATTGGGGTGGAAATCTCACACAAACATGCTTTCCCCAGCGGCATTTCTGCATTTGTTTGCCAGTGGAGCCCAGGACCAGCGAATGGCACAGAGGATTCAGCTTTGAAACCAAAGGTTTAATCTAAGTGTTGCATGGAAGGCCTGGTCCTTTCTTGATTGATGGCTTGCTTACTGTTTGCTGACAGCTGGAGACACTCACCCTTTGGGGCAGAAACCCAGAGTTAACACTCAGAGAAGCAAGTGTTGACCCTCTTGGGCCATAAGTTTAGAGGAATCCAGTTCTTATAACTTAATTTCTACATCCACTGGGGATGAAAGGAAGGGGTTGGTGCTTTCTTGTAGCTTACAAAGAAACACTCTCATCCTAAAAGCCTTACTGCTTGGTACATGCAGAAACGGTTCAAATTATCCAAGGTGGGATTTTTACAACCCAAGAATTCAAAGACAAATGGTGTGAGGTCCTACATCAGGCCAGCATCTCTGAATCCCTCCCCAGCCTCACTTGGCCACAAAGCCTGAAAGAGCTCAGAGAGATGAAATTCTTCCAGGTTTCGTGAGAATAGTTGTTTGAATGGGAATGACAGACTAAATTGACACCCCTGTTAGGAAAAGGCTGCAGTGTTAATTCACTCCTTATCATAGAGCAGAGGATCCTAAGCAGAGGATGGGTTAAGGGGAGGCAAAGGGCTTTCTGATGTCCCCCAGCCCCAGTCTAAACTCTCACTTTATCCAACAGCTCATTGTGGAGTGGCACCTCAAAAAACAAACAAACCAGCTTGCTTTGTTCCCCATCCCTCAGAGCTCTTGCTTATATGGCACTTTCATTGGTAACGTGTGTCTGTGTGGAAGCTATTCTTTATCTTTCGCTTCAGTGCTGTCACTGAAGGAAAGGAGCATCCCATGGCCCCATGTTACATTGAACGGGGTGATACAGCAGAAAGGAAACTTTCCAGTTTTGTGCTCTAGTCAAGAAAGAGAACTGGTGTAAATAATTCCTCACAAATCAGTGCTTTGGTATGTTTGGCTTCTTTCAGAGTATCTGTGAGCAGATGCATGATAAATTTCTCATTTTAACCAATGTTAGCAAATCTCTAGAGGAACTGACTGCTGTTTGCTGCCCATCTGTAGTAGTTAAGCCAGATTCCTCTGTTCTGATTTATCAGATAGGGTGACTGATGATGTTTGTAAATGTAAATTTTAAGTTTCCTCAAATTCTAGTGTGTAAAGCTTCAAAATAGTCACTTTCTATAAACATCATTGCTTGAAAAAGTCCTGCCACTTGAATATCTGGTGAAGATGAATGCACATTGCGTGTAGAGTTGGCAAGGAGGCACCCATCTATAAACATACAGTTACTATTCATGGGGATTTCTTTTATCGTCCTTCCAGTTGTACAAACACAACATCACCACCCCCCTGGCAATACTGCATTGTAAATTACCTTCCTTTTAAAAGCCCTCTCCCCTTAGTGCTTTTCATTCAGGAGCTGGGAGACAGCCCTGGGCTTGTTGTCTTCAGATCAAATACAAGCTGCAGACTCTGGGTATTCACCTGAATTATATGAACCTCTGTGCTGTAGCTATTTACTTGTGATACATTTCCTTTTCTTGATTAACTAAGCTCTGAAAAGGCACATCTGTTTCAGCATTGCCCCCTCAAGGCAGTCCATCAGCCCTCTGCTTTGTAGCATCTTTTTCTCTCACCTTTTCCTCTCCTTACCCTCTGTGGTCTGCTGTATTTTCTGTCTTGTGGTCATGATGTGTATCAGGCTCCTGCGGCAGGGATTGTGTCGTGGTGGCTGCCTGTGAAAAGCTGTCTATCGTGCCATGAATATGAGAATTATTTAGGAACATGCAAGTGCTGCAGCCCGTTTTGTGCCTGAAGCCCCAAAGATTGAGCTGGTGGGTGTTTCTGATTAGTTACTCAGTGCCTATCTATAGCCTCCTACGATGCTCCAAGCTCTGGGTACCCTCAGTTTCTTATTAACTTCACTGGTGTTCAGCATCCTCAGCACCAGGCAGGTCTGGTCCCCAGTAATGTACTAATGTACCGGTACTCTTTAACATTTTAAATATATGCACTGAATGCTACTTTTAATAGACACTGAACAGGACCATGATTTGCAGTTAAAATAAACACAAGATAACTTAATAGAACACACTATTGGAGTTACAGCCTCCACAGGATATTGCTCTCTGTTACACTATCCAAGTACTGGAGGAGTTTATTGCACAGTTTACTATGTGGCATCCAGAACTCCTCTATAAATAGCTGTTGATTTGCACCTAGGAATCATTTTAGGGAGAAAGGAGGGCAGGAGCCCTAGGCTGATTCTTTGATTAAGGTGGCCCTTAGGAACATTTGTGCTCCATAGAGATGGCATCCCTGTGCCCCAGCCCTCATCACAGCCTGTGCCCTGTGGTCATCCCCACAGCAAAGAGGAGGTTCCCCCACCGGTGGTGGTGTCTGTCCCTGTATTCTGCTCTCAGGCCTCTCTTGCCCTTTGAAGATTTCCCATTGTTTGGGCTATTAACATACTTTTGGGGTGGGTGTTTATCTCTTTTTTGCAACTTTTACAGCCATGCACTCTTAAAGGAAACCCCACACAGCTCTGGGCCAGCAAGCACCACCGGAGCCCTTTGGTGAGTGCAGTGCAACTCTGGGCAGCTCTTCCCTTTATTTGATCAGCTTCTAATACCTAACAGTTCTAGGAGTAAACATTTATAGATCAAATCAAACACTCGCAAAAGGAAGCACTCTCGATAGATTAGAAGCTAAACTGATCTAAATTAGAACAGATGCAGAGATAACCTTGCCTGGCTAAAAAGCATATACTATCGGTTGCACGCAGATAATTAAATGAATGAGCCTTTTTCTATTGAACAACTGATGTGCAATTGATAAACTTAATTAATAATTAACTTTTTAATTAAATATCAATTTAAAACAAGTGTGGTAATATGCCACTCGCATTTAATTTTGCTGCCTTTCCTTCATTAAAGAACTGTCATTAGGGTTGCAGGTATCTGTTTAAGATGCCTCTGAGCATTGCACAGGGAATAAATGTGTCCGCTGGGCACTTGCCAGTGAAGAGATGGTGATAAACAGCACAGCCAGAGACAGAGTAACTTCAGAGAGTCAGAAGTAACCACAGATAAATGGTGCATCCCTGGCTGTGGCTTTCTTAGCATCAGAAGATGACCTACCTAGGCTTATGTCTTTGTTTGCTATGAAGGGGCACCAACGAATATGGAAGAGCTCAGCCCTCTTCATAACAACTCTTTGGGAAAAGGGTCCTTCCCAGCTTTATGAGTGAAGTGGAAGCCAAGACTGAGCATCTCAACCCTGGCCTACGTTGAGAGGAGGGAGATCCATCAGTTATTGCCTTGTTTCAGCAAAGCAATCCTGAATAAGCGAGGGAAAGCGGCAATCTTTTTGCATGTGTCTTCTCACATGGTGCCTTAGTGCAATTCCTATTAGTGCTAATGGGGTAATTGGCTCCCCTCAATGTGAACTCCCTATAATGCATCCATGTAACTTGATTTGAGAGTGTAAATCCCATTAGCCTGAATGGCGATCTTTTCTAATTCACCCATTTGATCCGGGGAGCACTAACAGCCGATCTCGTCTCCCTTTGAAAGCAATAAAGAGGCATCTGACTTCCATTAAATGGGGTTTGCAAACATGCAGGAGGGTCTCACACCTCTGGGTTCGTGCCCCCCACCATGAGTCTGCCCTTGCAGACATGTGGGCAAAAGGGATATTGCTGCAGGGCCACCAATAGGTGCTTTT